CTGAAATCAAGTATCTAGGTTTTATAATAGGACATGGTGAACTTAAAGTTGACCCAGGCAATGTTAGAGCGACTTAGCAATTTCCGACGCCAACCACTGTCAAACAGCTACGTAGATTATTAGATTTAGCGGGCTGCTACAGGCGTTTTGTAGATAACTATGCAACGATCGCCGTTCCTTTAACAGACCTGCTAAAGAAAAACAATGTCCTTACTTGGACTGAGAAAGCAGATAAGGCGTTCAGCCAGTTAAAATGCAAACTTGTATCATCACCGATTTTAAGAACACCAGATTTCGGGAAGCCATTTGTATTACTTTGTGTGCGAGTTTATACGGTGTAGGTTGTGTTTTAGCTCAAGAGAACGAAGATGGGGTCGAACTGCCAATAGCGTATATGTCGGAGAAGCTAACGAAGCCTCAGCGAAATTACTCAGTCAGTGAATTAGAGTGCTTAGCAGTTATTAAGGGCACTAGCAAATTCAGAGCATACATCGAGGGACAAGATTTTTGTGTTATTACTGACCATGCCGCGCTGCAATGGTTGATGAGACAGAAAGTCCTGTCAGGACGCTTAGCGAGGTGGTCAATACGACTACAGGGGTTCTCATTTACGATTAAGCATCACAGTGGATCTCAAAATGTGGTTGCTGACGCATTGTCGCGTCGCGAAGAAGAGTTAGTTTCTGAGATAAATGATGGAGGACCGGTGATCGATCTGGCTTCGAAGGAGTTTAAATCAGAACAGTATAACGAACTGAGGAAGCAAGTTCAAAATAACCAATCACGTCTTCCTGATCTCAAGGGCTTGGACGATTTTGATTACAAAAGGACCGAACCAGCCAGGGGAAATTTCTTGCAAGATGAGGAGTCATGGAAACTTTGGGTTCCCATTAACCTTGTTGACGCAGTCTTAGCTCGAACGCATAACGTACCCGACGCTGCGCATATCGGCATGAATAAGATGAGACGGTAAGATCAGACGGTATCTATTTTGGCCAGGAATGGTGACGCAAATTCGCAATTATGTGTCGGATTGTTCCGTTTGTAAGTCAACAAAGAGTCCAAACCGAGTTCTTAGACCACCTATGGGCAGGCCTATGACTTCTGATCGACCTTTTCAAAAGCTCTATATGGATAAGTTAACTGTGGTGAGGGGGCCAGAAATGAATAGGAGACAAAATTTGGCCAACGCTAGATGGTTATTTCCGTACATCTGGTGCTGTCTACTATAGTACATGAGGACACGCGGTTTTGTCAAAACTAGAGGGAGATCGTTTATAAATAATGTAAAAAGAAGTGGGACATGGCTTCCTTGTGGGATGCCTAAAGTAACTCGGATCAAATAAGATTTAGAGTTTTTAAAGGGGACTCGTTGAGTCCTACCACTAAAATAACTTAAGATCCATGTTAGAAGATCACTGGGAAACCCTAATAAGTCTAACATTAATACAAATAAATTTGAATCAAACGCTTTACTGAAATCAGTGTAAGCTACGTCAGTCTCCTGTTTTCTTCTGAAGCCATTTATTACAAAGGACGTTAGCTCCAAGAGGTTTGTCGCCGCAGATCTTCGCCTTATAAATCCATGTTGACATGGAGATATAATTGATGTAATAACGTTTTCGAAAAGCTTTGGGATGGCGGATAAATTAGATATGCCTCTGTAATTGCTTGTTTCCAAAGATTTCCAAAGTTTCTACACAGAGTTTCTGCACAGTGTCTAAGCACGCAGCCTGGACCACCCTCGTAGGTCCGATAAGTACTTAGCCTCCAAAAGAAAAACGAAAATTTTGGAACAGTGGCGATTAATTTCTCAACATAATCTCCTTTGAGCTCGATACACTTGACCCAGCGATGCTCCAACTTCTTTAAGCTGTCTGAAAAATACGTTTTCTCGAGGTCTGCAAAATAGGCCTCTGTGGCGGCGACGACCTCCTCATTCAAGTTTGGAAACAAAAAGAAGTCACACGGGGTCAAATCTGGAGAATATGGTGGATGGGGTTGCCCAATTCGACCAATTTTGCCTTGGCGAGGGCGGAATTGTGATCCCGTGCGTTGTCATGATGGAAGAGCATTTTTTTCTTTTTGCCAAATGGAGGCATATTTTCTGCAATTCGGCTGTGAATCGGTCCAATAATTCGGCGTATTACAGCACTGTGACCGTTTTGCCCTTCTCTAGGTAGTCGATGTAGGTGTGTGAATCCCAAAAAAACGGTGGCCATCACCTTTCCGGCCGATGGGACAGTCTTCGCCTTCTTCGGAGCAGGTTCGCCGGGTGAAGTCCACTGTTTCGACTGTTCCTTGGTCTCTGGTGTGTACCAGTGGATCCATGTTTCGTCGATGGTCACGAAACGACGCAGAAACTCCTTCGGATTGCGTTCAAACACTGCTCTGAAGTGGTCATGACAGCTTTCTCATGCCCAAAATTTTATGCAGGATATGATCCACTCGGTCTTTTGACATGCCTACTGTCTCAGCTATCTCGCGTATTTTCAATCGGCGGTCTGCCAATACGAGATCGTGGATTTTTGCCACGTTATCCTCCGTGGTAGCCGTTTTCAAAAACCGACGTGCGACCACGTTGAAACTCTTTAAACCAATTTTTGACGGTCGCCATCGAAGAAGAAGAGTCACCGTACACAGCATCCAAGCGCTCTTTGATTTCGCTGCGCGATTTCCCTTCCAAAAACAAGATTTCTGGATTTGAATCAAAACACAAGTCCAGTAAACGTCGTAAGGAGTTTTTAAAATGGTTTACTTGGGATAGCGCAATGTCAAGCAAGCCATCAATAAAGTCATGCTGCGCTAAAGGAAGTAAAATATTGGAGTTTTCGTCTGGGGACCATGTCATTCTAGGTATATTGAAATCACCTACTACTACTAATGTATCTCGATCTGACAGTTTTTTGGAAATGGTCCGGGAAAAATTTGGAGCTAAGAATATCCGACCTTAACCAGGTTTAATTATTTTTAATATTATATGGGAAGGAAAAACTATCCGAGTACAATTTAGTCAGCTTACTAAGTAAGCCTCTTGTATTCTGATAGGAAAGAAGAAAGGAGGAGGCTAGTTTTTGGGGCAGAAGAGGGTTTGGAGGGCGCTGGGGATGGTTCTTTAATGGTATTTTCCATTTCCCCTGAACTTTTCTTTTTTCTCTTAGCTTCGTACTCTTTTACAAATATGCCCTCCGGCCAGAAACTGACGAAACACACAGATGCAAAATGACCACAAGGAATACCAATCTTAAATGATGATACTTTCCTAGCATAAGAAAATTTAAATTGTTCGACCTTCAAATCATCAACTTGGATTTTGTTATGGCTATAAGACGTAATATCCATTGATAAGAGGTCTGGGAGGAGCCGTGAAACAAATTCATGATTTAGCTGGGGCACAAGTTACCGTTTTTGGTAAAACACATGCGACCTTTATTGGTACTCCAAAATTTATATCTGCACTACCTGTATCGGCCGGTAATCCGGATGAGGTGTTGGGGCCACTACTTTATTTTGATCAGACAGAGCGGAAGTTCCTAGCGGCGCCACATCGGGCCAAGCAACTTCGGGTACCGAATCTTAGTACCATTTGCGGTGGGTTTTAAAGGAAAATTGGAATAAATTTGTGTTTGTGAATGTTTAATGACCCTCTTCTTGATATTTAAGATTTTTACATTTATTTAATGATTATTTTAATTTAGATTTTTGCTCTTGATCTACAACACTTTCAGTCAAAAGTGTTTAATGCAGGGAAGGGTTCATTTCCGACCCTTTAAAGTATATATTCTTGAACAGTATCACCAGGCGAGTCGATCTGGCCATGCCCGTCTTCGGCTTGCCGAAGTTTGCTCCCTTTTGGTTTTTATTTGTAAGGGATTTCCATTTCATTAACAATTTTAAATAAAATTGCTTAGGAGTTGGATTATATTAGTACTGGCTAATTTGATGTAAAAACTTTACATTTTCTGTTCTGAATAGGCATTAAAAAAAAATTATTTTGCATCATGGTTATTGTAGACCGTGTCAATAAGGCATTTGTATGTAAGGGCCATACATTTTCTGAATATTTGTGATGTCCAAAACTGGCAACGCAAAAATGTCATTAAATTCTAATTAATTTTGATTTTGCGGTACCTTTTACTACTCATTCGTATCCTGGCCTTTAATATTTTATTAGATCGGCTTAAGACTAAACCAAATTGTGGAAAGAAATCTTAATGGTTCTGGGTGCTGGATTTTGTTTACATCGAAATGTGTCATAAGCAGGATATGCCTACATATGTATATAAAAAAACGATTTCTTGTACTATGTATTTGCCTAAGTGGATGAGATCTAATTGCAGCTTAAGTGTGCTTCCAATATCGAGTATTGTTCGCTTATTTTAAGATAAAATCTAGTTGATAGGACCACAAAGGTCGATATTTTATGTTCTGATTACGTCACAATATTTATGTTAATTTGTTTGCAATAAAGCAAACTTCGCTTGCCTTATTTATACCCTTGCAGAGGGTATTATACTTTCAGTCAAAGGTTTGCAACGCAGTGAAGGAGACATATCCGACACTATAGAGTATATATTATATATTCTTGATCAAGAGCGCGTCCTGAGTTAATATAAGCATGTCCGTCTGTCTGTCCGTCTGTCCGTTTAACCGTCTGTCTGTTTCTACGCAAACTAGTCTCTCAGTTCTAAAGATATCGAATTGAAACTTTGCACACACCGTTCGTACCTTTGCACGCAGTATATAAGTCGGAACGGCCGGGATCGTACGACTATATCCTATAACCGCCATATAACTGATTGATCGGAAATGCCATAACTTTGGTGTTTGAAAAGTTAGTGTCGGGAGCAGCCGCAGAAATCAATTTAAAATCATTTCAAAACCATTTATTGTTTTCTATTTTGGTCAGCATCACTGACAACAACAATGTAAACAAAAGCTTCTCATTTATCTATCTGCATTCGTGGGTGAGATAAGCCGAGATAAGCGACTGCGCTCGCTGATCTCTCGGACCTGCGCACTCTCATTTTTGCATTCGCTTTTGATCGCTGGTACGAAGCAGTTCGTTCGCTCTCGCTTCCAGCAATAAAACATACATATTTGAAATCGAACCATACTCTCGGCTTTTTCTTTTAACACCGTTCACACACCGCATAGTTTAAAATTCGTTAAACATTCGCAAAAAAGGTGGCATAAATTAATGCCTCCTCTAATCATTGGTGAAACCGACGTGATCGTGAACTTGTGTTAAAGTGAAGCAATTATTAAATATCGTTTTAATAATTCTAAGCGCCCCTTGCACGTGCCGCGGCAGGGCCACACACACACACAAACCTTTTCGCATCGCTTCGCACGGTATTCGCACATACCGACATACATACATACAGTGTACAGTTAGAATCGGCTGCTGTACAGTCTGAACCTTTTGCATAACGGCAAGTGTTATACAACTTCGCGCGCCAGGCAGAGGTCGTTGCCCTTTGTTTTCGATTCCGTCATTACCCTCAAATTCGGTCTTTGGTTTTCGCTGGCCCAAGTGCAGGTGCAGTGCAAATTTCGTGCGGTGACTTTCGAATACCCTACAGACTTTAAATAAAAACTCAAAATGTCAACCAAACATACGAAAAAACCTGAGCTCGCGCCTCACGCTCCAGACGGCGAGGAGTTTTATCGGGCAAAGGCAAATTCTATGGTACGCCAGCTGGCTGCCCTAAATTTATTTCTAACAGAGGAGCAGTTGCAGGTGCGGTTGGATTTAATCGAGCGCATATACTCTGATTTCGATAGCTCTCGACTTAACCTCGAACGGCTTGTGATCGAGGAGCTGGAGTCGGATGCGCGCTTAACCTTTACCACGGCATATTGTGAGACGAAAGGAAGGATCTGCCGCCATCTCAATAGTGAAAAGAGAAAGTCGTTGGCAAATTCAACTGAGCTGCATGGCATCCTCGGTGGCCACACTGCCGCCTTCAAGTGCAACTCGCGGCCCACCAGGCTACCGGAATTTCAGCTTCCGCGATTTGGCGGAGCATACATCGATTGGCCGGATTTCTTCGCCATGTTCAACACGGTAGTGGGAAAGAACGAAGACCTAACAAAGGTGGAAAAATTTCAGCATCTTCGTGCATGTTTGGACGGCATAGCGCTGGATGCAATTCGCTCTCTAGAGCCCACGGAAAATAATTACGACAGGGCTTTGGAATTATTAACCTCGAGATTTGATAATAAATTATTGCACTTTCAGGCTCATGTTCGGTCTTTATTCAAGCTACCAGGGGTGGAGAAGGGATCCGCAAGTAGCCTGCGGCAGTTGAGCGACAAGGCAAATTCTCATTTGCGCGACCTGGCTACTATGGCCTCTACGAAGGAAATCTATGACGGCCTTTTAATCCATCTCATCGTTTCAAAACTGGACATTCAGACCCAGGAGAGGTGGGAAGAATGGTTGCCTTCCAAGGAGCTGCCAAATTGGGATAAATTCTCATCGTTTTTGGATCTTAGATGCCGCATGATGGAAAATTTGGAATACGCTATGGTAAACCAAGCACCTAGCAAACAGGTTGGAAAAGTAGCTAGCAAATTTTGTCGTAGCACCCTCATTGCTTCATCATCAACTATGCCAGCATGTACCCTGTGCGAGTCTAGGGAACATTATTTGACAAAATGTCCACAATTCTTAGGATTGAACCCCAATCAGCGGTATAGAGAGTCAAAAAGGCTACATCTTTGCCTTAACTGCCTACGAAAGGGACACAGCCTACAGCAATGCAAGTCTGGCAACTGTAGACACTGCCGCCAGAAGCATCATAGTCTTCTTCACTTGGAACCAAATCCCGTTGCAACCCTGCCCCAGCCTGCTCCAGAAATACTTCCGCAAGGATCATCTCACGTCTCTCTAGCCCTGTCCAAAATACAGCCTTTAGCTTCATCGCCGACTAGATCCGAATACGTGCTGCTTGCTACCGCCATAGTCTACGTAAAAAATCGCTCTGGCGTGTTCGTGCCATGCAGAGCCCTGCTCGATTCGGCTTCTCAAATCAATTTCGTCACCTCTCGTTTCGCCAATCAGCTTCAGCTCAAGGTCCATCGGTCAGTCATCTCCATATCAGGAATCGGTGAATCCTCGCTCGCTTCGGATAAATCGGTTTATATTTTCGCTCAGTCGAGTAACGCAAAGTATAGCACTTCGCTCTCAGCTGCTGTCACCCAGTCAATAACCGATTATCATCCGCATTTCGATCTTAACGCGTCTGAATGGAAAATACCGGAAAATCTCGAGCTCGCCGACCCGCTCTTCTACAAAAGTCAACGCATCGACTTGCTTATTGGAGCAAGCATATTCTTCGAGCTGCTTTGTATTGGACAAATTCGATTAGGCAGCAATTTACCCACTCTGCAGAAAACCAGACTTGGCTGGATCGTCTCAGGGTGTCTGACAGTAGGATCTTCCGTTCGCTCATCTTTAGTTTCCATATCTCAAGAGCCCAGCACTCATTCGGAGTCGGAGTCGATCTCTGAGATACTAAAGAAATTTTGGGAAATCGACAATTGCGCAGATTCTACAAAAACCATTTCGAAAGAGGAAGCTCTATGCGAGCAGCTATTTCAGCAGGAATACACTCGGCTTGAATCTGGCCAATATTCGGTACTACTTCCTGCCAAAACTAGTTTCGATGTTCTAGGAGATTCATTCGATCGTGCGCTTCTTCGTTTTAAAGCACTCGAGGCCAAATTAGCTAGGAATTTGGAGCTGAAGTCGCAATATAAAGCCTTTATAGACGAGTATCTAAACCTTGGCCACATGTCTCTAGCAACTAAAAATGCTGCAGCTCATCAATATTACCTACCCCACCACTGCGTCCAAAAGTTGGAAAGTACAACGACAAAACTGCGAGTTGTTTTCGACGGCTCCGCGAAGTCCACTTCGGGATATTCGTTAAACGATTTGTTGTACGCTGGCCCTTCCATTCAACCAAAAATCTTCACTACCCTGCTTCGTTTTCGATTTTTCAAGGTTGCTTTGTGTGGAGATATTTGCAAAATGTATCGCTGCGTTCGGGTTACACATCCCCATCAGTTTCTACAATGTATTTTGTGGCGCGATCGGCCAGAAGATGAGGTACAAGTTTACTCGCTCGACACCGTAACCTATGGCACGAAGCCTGCTGCTTTTTTGGCAATTCGTGCAATGCAGCAGCTGTCTTACGATGAAGAAGCGGAGTTTCCAGTAGCAGCTAAAATCATACGCACAAATTTCTACGTCGATGATTTAATCGCAGGAGGAGACACCATTGAGGAGGTCGTTGAAATTCGTCAACAAATCAAGGCGCTCTTGGAAAGAGGACATTTCCCAATTCGCAAATGGTGTTCCAACGAACCTGCGGCGCTAGAAGGAGTGGATGACTCGGATCGGGAGAAAACTTTAAAGTTCCACGACGGAACTGACGTTACAAAGGCGTTAGGTTTATCTTGGGACACGCTATCGGATAGCTTGCTTTTCAGCTTCTCAAACGAATGGACTGAAAAACCCGCAACTAAGCGCAGCATTCTGTCGGCTATCGCTAGGTTTTACGATCCCCTTGGATTAATAGCACCGATCATAACCAAACTTAAAATTTTCATGCAGGTCTTATGGAAGGATAAACTCGACTGGGATGAGTCTCTGCCGCAATCTTTACATTCCGCTTGGTTGGAGCACATGCCGCAGATCGCCGCAGTTGCTTGCTTGAAATTTCCACGCTTTGTTCTACAGCATAACTCATCGTGCGAAATACATGGATGTTGCGATGCAAGCATGGCAGCTTACGGAGCTTGCATTTACGTTCGATCAGAGAACCAAGGCATAGTTTCTTCGAACCTACTTTGCTCAAAGTCAAGAGTCGCACCCTTGAAGACACTCACGATTCCGAAGTTGGAGTTATCTGCCTCTCTTTTACTGTCCGAACTTGTCTCTCAAGTGGCACAAATTGCACCTCGATCTTGCTCTTTTCATTGTTGGTCAGATTCGACAATAGTTTTGGCTTGGATCCGTCAACCTCCTTCGGACTTTAACATTTTCGTTTCGAACAGGATTTCGCAGATACAGGAGAGAACTAAGGGAATGACTTGAAGGCACGTACCGTCACGACAGAATCCGGCAGATATCTTATCTCGTGGATGTACCCCTATTGAGCTGGTGGGATCAAAGCTTTGGAGTGAAGGACCGCAGTTCTTACTCACTGATTCTTCTACATGGCCCGATGACGCACCCCCTGTCAAGGAACTTCCTGAGCGTCGACGCAGCGCATTGGTGCTGTCGCAGGAAATAGACATCTCGCAAAGTTGCAAGTTTGGAAACTCGTTTGGGAGAATGCAGAGAGTCTTCGGATATATATATCGGTTCCTTCAAAGGGTCGGCAAGGATCGAGTACGGCATAAAGGAGAGCTTACAGTCGAGGAAATCAAAGGTGGTACTCATCTACTCATTAAAGGGATTCAGCGCGTGCATTTCGCCGAAAATCGCAAGGCACTAACCATGAAGAAGTCAGAGGTCAGAAACAGGCCCCCTACGAAATGCTACATAGCCATATTCGTTTGCTTCGTCAGCAAGGCTACACACTTGGAAGTTGTCGAAGACCTTTCAACGCAATCTTTCATAGCAGCCCTGAAGCGTTTTATAAGCCTGAGGGGAAAGCCTCAAACGATTTGGTCAGACAACGCAACGAACTTCGTGGGAGCCAAAAACGAGCTTGTTGAGCTTCGGCAGCTGTTTTTGAGCGATCCTCAAAACATTGAACTATGGAATTCCCTTACGTCGATGGAGATCCGGTGGAATTTCATCCCACCTCGTTCCCCGCACTTTGGTGGCCTGTGGGAGGCCGCGGTCAAATCCGCAAAATATCATTTCATCCGTGTTGTTGGAAAATCGATTCTCACATTTCATGAACTGCGTACTTTAGTTTGTGAAATTTCCGCAATTTTAAACTCACGGCCGCTCTGTCCCATTTCAGAAAACCCAGATGATATTAGTGTTCTTACGCCTGCACACTTTCTCATTGGATCTACATTCACCGCAATGTATGAGCCTGATGTCACCCATCTGAACATCGACCGCTTGAGCCGGTGGCAGCGTGTATGCCAAATGCAGCAAACCTTCTGGCGCAAATGGAGCGCCGACTACCTTTCGCTGCTGCAGGATCGGACCAAATGGCGCCTTCCTGTGAGCAACATACAGGCAGGAAGCATGGTCCTCATCAAGGAGGACAACATACCCCCTTTGCGGTGGCGCCTCGGCAGGATCGAGAGCACCATCTCCGGAGAGGATGGCGTCGAACGAGTTGCAGTCATCCGAACCGACTCTGGACTATGCAAGCGGGCAATGAGGAAGCTGGCGGTACTGCCCCTTGAAACCACTTCACTTGGAAGCATGACTCTTCCAACGGGGGAGCATGTCGGGAGCAGCCGCAGAAATCAATTTAAAATCATTTCAAAACCATTTATTGTTTTCTATTTTGGTCAGCATCACTGACAACAACAATGTAAACAAAAGCTTCTCATTTATCTATCTGCATGCGTGGGTGAGTAAAGCCGAGATAAGCGACTGCGCTCGCTGATCTCTCGGACCTGCGCACTCTCATTTTTGCATTCGCTTTTGATCGCTGGTACGAAGCAGTTCGTTCGCTCTCGCTTCCAGCAATAAAACATACATATTTGAAATCGAACCATACTCTCGGCTTTTTCTTTTAACACCGTTCACACACCGCATAGTTTAAAATTCGTTAAACATTCGCAAAAAAGGTGGCATAAATTAATGCCTCCTCTAAACAGTTAGGAAGTTGGGATTTTCCATGGGTTTTATTTTGGCCAATCAATACGACCTACTAGGAAGTTGGGATTTTTTATGAGTATTAAGAATGCATCATATAAATAATTTTGGAGAATATAATTTGCAGAATATTCTGCAAGGGTATATCAGCTTCAGCTCCGCCCGAAGTTAGCTTTCCTTTCTTGTTTGAGATCAATGAGTACCTCCCTCTCAGATACAAAATCAATTCGGCTGCGTGCAGACGTGTTTTATTAACGCTCCGGAAAAACAATTAGCCAATCAGTCGAAAACGTTCGAAAAAAATTAATAAGCGCGAGGTTTTGCGTTTCGCGATGCAAATCGCATATCGTAAACTAAAGTTTTAATTAATTAAATAATTAATCTTTACGCACTAACTATAAACAAATGAGTAAGAACGTGGATCAGCGCACTCAACGACAAAAACAACAAGACGAAGCCCGTGAAAAAATTCAGAGAGAACAAGACAAACGTCGTCTCTCTTTGGCCCGTAACAACGCCTATTTTACGGTGACGAGTAATACTCTAGAACCGAAAGTGCTTGAAGGTGCAAGTTTACTGACCGCCGAAAACCAGAGAGCTAGCTCTTGCTCTCCCGCCCTGCTCTTCACCGCTCGAACGCCATGGAGTGAGCAATGCCGCCTAGCGCAACAACAACAGAAACTACTACGACTACTACAACGGTCTCTGTCGCCAACAATGCAATAACGACTCCACCCTCTTCTTGTGCTGCGGGTAAAGCAACAACACAACCAAGTGCAAAAATCGGTGCAAACGGCACAAACAAAGCTACGGTAGAAGAAATGACAATTCTGCAAGCGGGTTCTACCATGCAGACAGGCATGGATCGCTACATTAATATCTCCAAGCGCAAGCTAACACCCCCAAAAAACTCGGACGGCAATAAGCCCAAAATAAATCGTTCCAACAAAGGCCCTGTAAATCCCGGGCCATTAGATGAAAATAGATTTTCCATTCTGGCGGTGCCTGAAACAGAGTCTGAACAATTAGCCCCAAGGAAACTAAAGCCCCCACCTATTTTTATTCGGGAGAAGATCTCGAATGCCCTAGTCAACAAAATAGTTGAGCTTGTCGGAAAAGATAACTTTCATGTTATTCCGCTTATGAAAGGGAATATAAGCGAAACTAAACTCCAAACCAAAACCGAAGACGATTTCCGAGCAGTGTCGAAGTACTTAAACGATGCAAAGGTTTGCAAGTTGTGCTTAAGGGAATAGAACCCGATGTGACCCCCTGCGAAATTACAGAGGCCTTAAAAGAAAACGGTTTTTGCGCAAAAAATGTTATAAACATTATGAACAAAAACAAGAAGCCGCAACCACTTTTCAAGGTCGAGCTGGAGCCAGACAGCAGAACTTAAAAAAAAACGCAGTGCACCCGATCTACAAGTTGCAGTACCTTCTGCACCGTAGGATCACAGTGGAAGAGCCGCACAAACGGACCGGGCCAGTGCAATGCACAAACTGCCAGGAATACGGTCATACCAGGGCTTACTGCACCCTGAGGTCAGTATGTGTAGCTTGTGGAAACTGGCACGGCTCCGAACCCTGCCCTGCCAACAAGGAAGACTCTCTCACTAAAAAGTGTGTAAACTGCCAAGGAAACCACACAGCTAACTACAGAGGCGATGAAAAGTCGGATGCAACGAGCAACAACGGCACGCTCCCTGAACACACAAAACACTTACATGAGATCACAAACGATACCGGAAGTTTTCTTCGCAAAAGCAGCTAGATCATCATTTGGCCCTTCAATTACCACCAACGGAATTTCTTACGCCAGTGCTCTAAGATCAGGCACAGCTCACATAGAGCCGAAAATTGATAACATCCAGCAGGCCATGGGACAGCCACAAAGTAACATGGAATCTATGATGATTACTTTGCAACAAAATATGATGGAATTTATGTCCTTCATGAAAACCACCATGAAACCCTTATGCAAAACCAAAATATCTTACTACAAATGCTTGCAGCTCAGCAGTCCAAATAAACCATGCCTAGCCTTCAAATAACTCTGTGGAACGCCAACGGTGTTTCACGGCATAAACCTGAAATAACTCAATTTCTGAACGAAAACCACATCGACGTTATGTTGCTGGCAGAAACGCATCTCACCAGCAAATATAACTTTCAAATACGGGGATACACGTTCTATGGCACAGATCATCCAGATGGTAAAGCGCATGGCGGCACTGGAATCTTTTTTTTTTTTTTTTTTTTTTTTATAGCGCGGAGTCCCACGGCCCACTTACACGCCCAACCGACCGAGGGGCGCAGCCGTGTATCGTACGGCACGATTCGCGATAGGATAGACGCGAGATAGGAAAATAAAGGTAAAGGTCCGGGGAAAAAGTAATAAAAAGTAATCTTAATAAGAGACCGCGTCAAACACCACTTTCACCAACGGTTTGCTAAAAATCATCTGCAAGCTACATCGATAAAATTACAGTTGGGCAACTGCAACCTTGCCATTGCCGCTGTCTACTGCCCACCCCGCTTTACAGTCTCCGAAGACCAATTCATGGACTTCTACAATTCGCTTGGAGAGCGATTCATAGCAGCAGGAGTTTACAACGCCAAGCACACGCACTGGGGATCCCGCCTTGTGACCCCCAAAGGAAGACAACTATATAATGCACTCATTAAAACATGCAACAAACTGGACTACGTTTCACCAGGCAGCCCTACATACTGGCCTACAGATCCTAGAAAACTACCTGATTTAATTGATTTTGCTGTGACAAAAAACATCTCTTGCAATCTAATATCTGCAAAATCGCTTTTGGATCTATCATCGGACCACTCACCAGTGCTAATAACTCTTCTTCAAAGCCCGGAATTAATCGAGCACCCTCGCAGGCTGACGTCGCATCGAACCAACTGGCTGAAGTTCAAAACGTACGTAAGTTCCCACATTGAACTAACTCCACAGCTCAACATCAAGGAGGACATCGACTGCTACGCCGATGCACTGGAGTCTGTACTCGTCGCAGCAGCCAAAGTCTCAACACCGCAAGGGAGGGATGGGCACACACACCAACACAAAACTAACCATGAAATCGAACAGCTTGTTCTGGAGAAAAGACGTTTGAGACGTACTTGGCAAACCAGCAGATCGCCATCCTCAAAACAAAGTCTTAAAGAAGCTGGTCGCAGACTTACCAGGGCTCTAAGGCTAGAAGAAGAAAAATCACAACGCCAGTACATTGAGAAACTTTCACCCACCAGCACTAAGCATCCCTTGTGGAGGGCCCACCCAAATCGAAGTGCGCCGGCCGAAACAGTAATCCCCATAAGAGACTCTTCAGGCAGCTGGGCCAGAAGCGACAAAGACAGAGCTTGTACATTTGCTTTACACCTTCGAAATGTTTTTCAGCCAAACCCTGCAACTAATTCATTCGCACTACCGTCGCCGTCAATTCGAATTCGAGCCAATTCTGTTTCAACCAAATGAAATTGCAAAAGTAATAAGCGAGCAATTGAAACCAAAAAAGGCCCCAGGCGGTGATCAAATAACTCCCAAAATGTTAATCGAACTTCCACCCTGTGCAGTTGAGGTTATTTGTAAACTCTTCAACGGGATTACACGACTTGGCTATTTCCCAAAAAAATGGAAAAAATCGGTAATCATAATGATTCCAAAGCCAGGGAAAGATCACACAATACCAGCTTCGTATAGACCGATAAGTTTACTCTCGTGTCTGTCAAAACTGCTCGAAAAATGCCTTTTGACGCGCATCATTCCATATCTGAAAGAGCACAACGTTATTCCAGCACATCAATTTGGCTTTCGAGAAAGCCATGGAACAATAGAGCAAGTCAACAGATTAACAACAGAAATAAGGACTGCATTCGAGCTACGGGAATACTGCTGTGCGGTATTCCTTGACGTTGCACAGGCTTTCGACCGAGTCTGGCTTGATGGCCTTTATCCATAAAATCAGAACGATCCTGCCAGGAAACACTCACAGGATACTGGAATCGTACCTTTACAACAGAGCCTTCGCCGTGAGATGCAACACCACAACATCCGATTACTACGCTATAGAGGCTGGAGTTCCCCAAGGTAGCGCCCTTGGTCCAACTCTATTTCTCCTCTACACCGCAGATATTCCCACGAACGAGCGGCTAACTACTTCTACATTCGCAGACGATACCGCGATCATAAGTCGGTCCAAATGCCCAACTCAGGCAACAGCACTACTAGCTGATCATCTCGTTGTAGTGGAGAGGTGGTTATCAGACTGGCGTATAAAAATAAATGCGCAAAAGTGTAAACACATAACGTTTACTCTTAACAGACAAACGTGTCCCCCGCTAACCCTGAATAACACGCCACTTCCACAAGCTGACGATGTAACGTACCTTGGCATCCACCTAGACAGGAGACTTACATGGCGGAGACATATCGAAGCTAAGAAAATTCACCTAAAACTAAAATCAAACAGTCTCCATTGGCTTTTAAACGCGCGCTCCCCCTCTGCCTGGACTTCAAGGTCCTGCTCTACAATTCAACGCTTAAGCCAGTCTGGACCTACGGCTCCCAATTGTGGGGAAACGCGAGCAGCAGCAACATCGACATTATTCAGCGAGCACAATCAAAAATCCTGAGAACTATCACTGGGGCACCTTGGTATGTTCGGAACGACAACGTCCACAGAGATCTTGGCATTCTACCCGTAAAAGATGAAATATCAAAACAAAAAGCGTCCTACCACACCAAGCTAACTTCTCATCCAAACCAGCTCGCCAGGGGCCTAGCCAGGGCTTCCATCCGGACCCGATTGCAACGCAATGACCTTCCAGCTCAGCAATAGTTATTAGAGCCCCTAAATTTTCGCGCCAGTCACCTTGACTGTCAGATAGTTTTTTAATTTAAGATTCTATATACTTATTGTTAGTCTCAATTCAGAGAAGATCCAATAAATAAAAAGCAAATGTTCAAAAAAAAAAAAAAAAAATGAGTACCTCCCGACCGCCTTTAATTTTACAATGTACAGAGGCATCCGGTGCAGCCACCAATTTGCTTTCTCTGATCATATTCCAGTTATAAATTGCAGCCTTGGCCAGAAAAGGTCATACAATCCACCACTCCGAGTAATGACGCGGCATACCATCGACATGGCAAGGTAGGAGGCTATTATGTCAGAGCTCAGAAAATTCCTCCGTTCCGCTATTTTGGCATTCATTATGGAGAAGTTCAGTACCATTCAACCCAACCGCCGTGATTCCGAAATTGCTGAAGTACTTGAAAATTCTATGAAGATTGTCTCTTTTTGGCTTTGCAACAAGCAAAGAAGTCAATTCCACCATCTCTAGGTTAGGGGTCTCCTTTGGTCCTCTTATTGCTGTGCGTTTAGAGGACGTGGATGAGGTTCGCGATAAACGATATTACCACTTAAGCTCCTGGCATGGATGGAATGCCTGTAAGGTAGCAAATGCTCTATCTAATTTTTAATGCTTCCCTAGACATTGGCCATTTTCTATACTTGTGGATGGAATCTTACAGGACGATTCTTAGCTGCCTAAAAATCCATCCATAGTAAACTATCGTTATAACCTGGATTTTTTCTCCGATTTTTGCCTGTGGCCAAAAAAAAAGAATTGGGTTCATTAAAAGTGAAAATAGATTTTAATTTCCAGCAAACCACCTCAAATTGCTTAAAATTACTATACATACGTTTATGTTAATGTATGTATTTTTAAAAGTTCAAGTAATTCAATTAAAAACGCCGGCGCGCTCGAAGTATGGTAGTGAGTAGCGCAGCGTCTCTGCCAGTCGGCGCGACTCGAACATCTGACGTACTTTATGGTTGGCGAAGTCTTCATCCTTGAAGTTCTCCAGATTGTTATCGGCGGTCTGGGCCTTATCCTGGCTGACAGTAGGGAAAATGCCGTAGCTAGCGAAGAAGCCGTAGGCCTCGCGGCGGTGAACCTCTTCTAGGATCTGCTCGTAGCTGGGAACGGGGACCCCCAAGTCGAGATTGAGCAGCGTTTTAGCTAGCTTAGCGTGGTAAGAGCGCAGAAGTTGAGACCGCCGGTGGCGCAGCACCTCCAGAGTGAGGCTGGTATAGAAGAAATAATTGAGGTCAATGCCCGGGCTGCCCCAAACACTTAGCTGGAAGTCGATGAGGATAAGGTCCTGCACCCTCTGCGCTGTGTCGTACTTGAATAGCAAATTGTTTACCCATAGGTCACCGTGGTTGAGAACCTTTATCTCCTTCTCTTGAGGCGCTTGGCTGCGTTCCAGATTAGCTCTCTGGTTCTGCATGTACTTGCCGATCTTCTCTGCAATGCGCTCGAAACCGGGCCAAGAGCCCACCAGATTGTGCAGTTCCTTCCCATTGCCCGCGAAAAAGCGCATCAGCAGACCGTCGTCCTTCGCGAGCCCCCTCGGCGAGAGCATGCCGTCGGTATAGGCGTCGAAGATGTGGGGATCCTGGGCGTTTAGAAATGGTTGAATTCAAAATTGTTCCCAGTTTAAATTAACTCACCAGCACCGCCAGGACCATCGAAGTGGCGTGGAACTCCGCCAAGCGCTCCATCACCAGTTGACAGTGTTCCTCGTCCAAACCTAACTCACGGGAGGCCATCTTAAAGCCCACCTGACCCATATCTTCGAAAACAAGAGTGCTTTCCGGCTCTTTGATGCACTGGTAAAGTCTGTGGAAATTGAATAAGAACTCGTTAGGTACTGAAATAATTTACAATTCAACTTTAAATTCAAATTTCCCTTTTAACTGTTATTTATTTCAAAATAAACTGTTGTTATTTTATTTCTCTAAAATTAAAAGGGTTGAAACTACTTTTAATTGGCTTTATTAAACTTTGGCAAAGGCATATTATTTTAAAAAGACGTTTGGATGACTTTAAATTGTAAGCTTTTAAATAAAATAAATGTCAATAAGACACGACACGAAAAAAAAAAATATGTTTTGGTGTGGTCTTGGACCATGTACCTTTAAAGTGTATTTGTTGATAAGCATGTAACAGGTAAAAGGGAGCCGAGTCGATTAAGCCAAGCCCTTCAATCAGTCCGTCTGCCAGTTCGACTGTCTGGCCGTCCTTGTCGAGATCTCAATAACTATAAGAACTGGAGATTTGGGACTTGGCATGAAGATTCTGTGTTTTGTAACGCTTGGTTAGCTAAGTAAAGGGTATTTTATATCCCCGGTCTTATTTAAAGTTTAAGGGTACCTGCCTCATTGATACCCAAAAAATCGAATTCTTAAATAATCTGAATGAATCGTTTATTTCGAATAAAAATCACTGACTGATTTATAATTTAAATTTGTTATATGAATATCAATACTGACTTTTATTTTAAATGTCCCTAACAACTTTTATTTTTGTATTTTTTATAAAAGCCCTACGCATTTATTAAATATTAAATGTAATGTTTAAAAAAAAAACAAGAAAGGAAAGCTAACTTCGGGCGGAGCCGAAGTTGAAATACCCTTGCAGAATATTCTGCAAATTATATTCTCCAAAATTATTCATATGATGCATTCTTAATACTCATAAAAAATCCCACCTTCTTAACTTTAAAAACACCAAAGTTATGGCATTTCCAATCGTTCAGTTATATGGCAGTTACAGGATATAGTCGGCCGATCCATATGAAATTTGGTAGGTCGGATTAATTGGCCAAAAATAAAACCCATAGGAAATCCCAACTTTCTAACTTTACAAACACCAAAGTTATTTCATTTCCGATGAATCAGTTATATGGCAGCTATAGGATATAGTCGGCCGATCCTTATGAAATTTGATATGTCGGATTGATTGGGCAAAAATAAAACCCATAGAAAATCCCAAATTTCTAACTTAACAAACACCAAAGTTATGGCATTTCCGATCAATCAGTTATATGGCAGCTATAAGATATAGTCGGCCGATCCTTATGAAATTTGGTAGGTCGGATTAATTGGCCAAATATAAAACCCATAGAAAGTCCCAACTTCCTAACTTAACAAACAGCAGAGTTATGGCATTTCCGATCAATCAGTTATATGGCAGCTATAGGATATAGTCGGCCGATCCCGGCCGTTCCGACTTATATACTGCGTGCAAAGGAAAGAAGGGTGTGTGCAAAGTTTGAATTCGATATCTTTAAAACTGAGAGACTAGTTCGCGTAGAAACAGACAGACGGACAGACAGACGGACATGGCTATATCAACTCGGGAGGTGATCCTGATCAAGAATATATATACTTTATAGGGTCGGAGATGTCTCCTTCACTGCGTTGCACACTTTTAACCAAAATTATAATACCCTCTGCAAGGGTATAATTATATTTAATTTCATAATATATATATGGTAAGGCCGAGTTCTTGTGCCTCGCATGGTATGTAAAATACCTTTTTCTCTCGGTATCGCTCGAAGCAGTCAGACGGGTGCTCAGGCTCGAATAATGAAGAATACAAACTAACTTTACCCCCCGAAGAGGAGGAATACCAATGTCCATAAAAACTAAGACGACGTCCTGTAAAAGAGCTGCAGCGTTCCTCGTAATGAACTAACTTGATCACCTTTCGAAGAGCGTCATCGGTAAATGAGCTCGAATACGCATTAGAAGAATCTGACTAGACCTCACCCGTGGTTTCCCTTCTTGAGCGTAGGGCCATCTAGTAAAGAGTTTATTAATTTTTCTATATATTGGAATGTGAGGACACTTTCCTTATCATTTTTTACTAGTTTTATTTTTGACGACAATCAATAAAAAAATACAAACAAAATTTTTTTTAAAATGTATGAATGAATCGGTATGAATTTGTATAAATATTTTTGAGGTTGAAATTAAACGAAACCAGACTTTTGATAGGTTTTTTGAACGTCCAAGCGCTGTCACTTTTCATACCCTTCCAGAGGGTATTTCAATTTCAGTAAAAAGTTTGCAATGCAGTGATGGAGATATTTCCGATCCTATAAAGTATATATATTCTCAGCATCACCATCCGTCCGTCCGTTTCTACGCAAACTAGTCCTTCAGCTTTAAAGTTATCTGCTCTAAACTTTCCCAAAAGTTGTCTTTCTAGTGCAGGCAGTATATAAGTCAGAACGATGGCAAAGTGCATCGCAAAATCGTTATAGCTTAATGTTTTTAGTAATATAGGCATATAAATCGAAATGTAGTCGTTTTGCAAGGGTATATAAACTTCGGCTTGCTTCTTTTCTTGTTTGTTTTATTCTTGACAAAAGTAGTTAAATCGGGCCAAAGTTTTTCAAGATATTTTATTTTTGAGTTTTTCCGGCTCGAGGTCAACAATTAAAAAAATATTTAAACAAAAGTTTTTAAATTTTTTTTTTTATTTTTTCCAATATATTTCGGTTGCACTTCGGCAACCGTCTTCAAGGCAACTATAATAAACATAAAAACACATAAAATAACAAAAATTTAGACAATGAAAAATAAAGTTTTAAAAATTATTACACCTACATAATTTTACACGTCTGCTCCGTCGGACGTGGAGATTAATACTAGTTGTTATTGATAAGTGTCTGTAAATGTCAGCGCAATTTTTAACGTCTGTTTTGTAGTTCAGTCTTATGCTTGTGGTGTGTTTGTTATATGTAACATTTCTATGGTAAAGCGTTTTTTGTAATGTTGTTATTGTTCCAAAATAGTCATTGCTTCAAAATTTTTTCAAGATATTTGAGAGATATTTATCAACATGGCAGATATTTTTAATTTTTCGTCAGACAACATTTGTAAAGTGTCGTTTGTATAAAGCTTTTAATCTTTCAATTTAGTAAAATCATTTTCTGGAGGCACTTAATAAATTGGGATCCCTTATAGATACATTAAATAGAGCATCGTTTCAAGATATATATACATCGGTCGAAACGGATTAAATATACATAACAGAACATTTCAGCGTTAAATATTAACTTTGTTTAACTTATTCGGGAACAGACAGTATGAAAGTAATAAAAAAAAATATTCCACACAAAGTAAAACAATAAATCCTTTGACTTATATTTATTTGTATTAAAAAAGAAAGAAAGCTAACTTCGGCGAGCCGAAGATTATATACCCTTGCAGGTTTCACAAATCGACTACATTTCGATTTCTATGCCTATATTACTAAAAACATGAAGCAATGTCGATTTTGCGCTGCATTTTGCCATCGTTTCTATGGCAGCTATATGATATTGTTGTCCGATTTTTATTTAATTAAAACTGTAATTCCACAATATTTAAATATTACCAAGTCCCAAAAAACAAAAAAAAAGCTTCTCTGATCGTAACATTGAGGAGTATCTGACGCTCCAACGTATGACCTCGAGTAATTCAATAGCTATAAAAACAACAAAGTTATAACATTTTTGAATTTTCCGATTGTTCCTATGGGAGCTACATGATATTATCGTTGGATCCGGCTCGTTCCGACTTATATACTACCTGCAATAGACAGACAACTTTTGGGAAAGTTTCAAGCAGATAGCTTTAAGGGGTTATATACCTTCTTTTTTTTTTTTTAAACAAATAATTTTTTTTGCTGAATTCTAAAGTATATCCCCTAGAGAACATTTTCCCAAATTTTCATAGAAGCCTAGTATCCACTTCGACGTAAACCGTACGCCAGTCATGAGAGAGAGCGAGAGGCAAACAGCTGGCGTTCACTTTTCGTCGGGCCTTTTTTTCACGTCGGTCCCCTGATCGACGAAAAAAATACCAGAAAATTCCATAGCGTTGCCAGTCTGCGGAAATAAACTTTTAGCGAAAAGATTAAAAATTTAATCTTTTGGCGTGCGCTTCTCAGTTTTATATATTTATAAGAAATGGAGGGAAAAACTCAAAAAACTTACAAAAGTCGATTGCAGGTGTTTACATGAGAGGACAAAATAACATTAATACTATCTGGGGTGCCTCTTGTCAGAGCAAAATGTTTTTTAAGTCCAGAATGTACGAAAAAACACAATAATGCCCTCTTCCCACAGAGCTCCATCCACCATCCACCATCCGTTGAACGGATGGTCCATAAGGTTTTGCCGTTCCGAAAATTCCCAGTTAGTTCCCCATCCAAATTTGACGGACTTTTTTATGCGATAGTTAGGCGATGGTTTTTTGGTGCAACTCTGAGTTCTTCTTCTTGACAGTGGAAATTGGAACATTCACTACGAAAATTAAAAAAAAATAATGGCGGGTAACTTTTGAACAGGAAGGCGCCAATTCAAAAAATGCAGTTTTTACTTGTAATAATTAATTAATTACTGCTCCATCCGTGTGGCAGCATTAGGTCTTGCTCCACTCTTTCCTAGGCGCATACCTTACTCACAACATTAAGCAGAACATTTAAAATGAAATAAAATATGAAATTATAATAAAACAAAAAACAAACATTTATATATAATGAACTTGATTTGTTACCATTTAGACAATATTGGGCAATAGCTGTTCATATTTTGTCTGCAGGCTGGCAAAAATCTGCAGACGTATTAGTTCGTTTTGATTGTTCGCGTAGATCACTTGCAGTCTGTTACCAAGTATCATTATAACGCTGTTGTGCTCATTTTAAATGTTGTGCAAAATGCAACGGGCTAAAATGATGAGCCACAGCTGTTCAGATCAGCTGTTATCGGATGGTGGATGGTGGATGTGCTCTGTGGGAATCGGAGTTTCACATTTGTCAAAAATCCCAACCGTTTCAGACGGATG